CAATTCATTTTGTGATAGGCCATAGATTAGTCCAAATGGAAGTTGAGCTCTTTTATGAAGTTTAATAGAACAACTATAGTGATGATGCTTTAGAAAAATATCTACATTTTTTTTTTAAAAAATGTCTTAATAATCTTGGTATTGGCTTAAAATATTACTTGAAATATTTTTTTATTAATAATAGATATGGTGTACATAGCAAAAATTGATACTTCTTTTGTAGCATGCATGAAAGCTCTAGCACCTATTAATAATAGTTTAGATGTATTGGAATTATGGATTTCTAGTTGCTCAACAAAATCTTAGGCAAAATTATGGAAAAAATCAAGGTTAGTAGAAATCCATCTATTTGAGGGATATATTTTTTTAGCCACAATAATCCTAAAATAATTAGATCAAAAAAAAATCTAATCACATTAAATATTAATAAAATATTATGACAACTAGTTTCTACATCTTAAAGAATAATTTTATGTGTAACATTTCCAAAAGATAATAAAAAATCATATATTATTTTTACATATATAGATTTGGTTTTCTTAATTCATGATATTTCTTATTTTTTGACAAAGTCTTCATCTATAAAAGATGTTGAGTCTCCTAAATCTAACAAGGCAAACACTTTGTGATTTTTTGGTCTTAAAAAAAAAATATTTGTAAAATAATGTGAGAGATTTGTAGAGAGAATATGACCTTTACTAGGTCTTATGCAAGATTTTAACTACATATTTCTTACTGTAACTAAAAAAACTTATTTTTTGATACACCATCTTCTTTAGCAACCATACTCTTTATTTTATAATTATATTACTTCTTTGAAGAATGTTGAGTAATATGCTTGGATTCTCCACAATATATGCACAAACCTTCTTAACAAAAATAAGTCTATATTTGCTCAAAAAATAAATTTGAATATATAATGTTAATTTGCATAAGCTTTGGCTTGAGTAAATAAGCTTGTAAAAACTTAGAAAGTGTTGCCATAACTTGACTTATACCTCTCTAATCAAATCTTTATTCTTGTCATCTTTCAAAAAATCAATTATTGTATGTAATGGCTTTAGCAAAAAATTACTCTAATAAATGTATTCTTGGCATTGCCAACAATAAATCTTTGATATTACCTTTTAATTCATATCAAAATTGATTGATAAGAGCTTCATCATTCTAATCTACATTCCAAATAAGATTTTGGAATTCAACAGCATATGTAGTGGTTAAACATGATCTTTGTTGTAGAAATGTAAAATTAATCATTACTATTCTTTTTTAATTATTTTTTCTAAATATAGTTATAAATACTTTTAAGAATGAATTTAAATCATAAAGTAGTTATAAATCTTTTTCCATTAAAGGTGAAAACCAGAAAAGATTACTCTTCAAGAAAAGTGCTCCTATGAATCCAACTTAAGTAAATCCATTATAATATTGAGAAGGATGTAAGCTTAAATAAAAATTTATTTGTTGTAAAAATCCTTAAAATTTTGATCTTAATCCATCAAACTTCTCAAGCATATTTATCCTTGCATCTCTTATACTTATAGTAACAAGACTTCTTAGATTCAATTCTAAACTTGATATACTTGCTTTTCTTAATTATATAATTTTTTAGCACTAACTTTAAATTTTATTGTTGACTTCTTCCATGGACATAGGAATAATATCTCCATAATTCAAATTAGAAATATGTAAAATTTCTATCTTAAAAGTATTAATAAGTACATGAAGATTTGCAATAGTTACAAATCTATTCTTATTTTTGCCAGTTGTAGCATCTATAATTTTTTTCTTCTATAGATAAATAAAAAAAATTCAAAAATTTAAATTAGAAGAGGGTAATCCACAATATCTAGTATCAAATGAAATTTTCTACAAATATATGCTATTTATTTTCTTTAAAGAAAAAAATCAATGTTAAAAAAAGATAAATTAGTTTAAAGGTAGATGGTTTATAACTTTTAAGAATACAATAATAGAAGTAGGATAATCCTCTCACTTCTAGAAAAAAACAAGAAAAATAAATTAAGATTCTTATCAATTTATGAAAGACATAAATTTAAAAATTAAAATAATAATAATAATAATAATAAAAAACAAAAAAAAAACAAAACTCAATACCTTCTTATGTCATTAAAAAAAGATTAGGAAGTCATCCAAAGATGGTAGTATATTAAACTAAAATTGTTGTTACCAAAGACAAGAAGACTAAAAAATCTTGAAATAAGACTAAGGATTAGAAGGCATTAACAAGAAAGAAGAAGGCTTCATTCTTGCCTCTATATATACTATTTAACTAAAAACTACATGGTAATGTTTGATATGACCTCTACACATGTTGACTTTTGAAAGACACATATCTTAAATTACTAGGCAAGTTTTTTATATGTGCACCATTTAGTTAGTTTGTTCTACAAGCTACAAACACGTGTGATGCATAGCTAACTTGTTGACCAAGTTTCTAAGCTATCAGTCAATTACAAATATGTGTAAAGTCAAAATTATATCTATGAAGCTTCTCTAGAATAAATTATGAAATTAATATATTTTTACTTAGTTCTACCTAATCATATAGATAATTATTGGAATAAATATGTATGCTAGAATATTAAGCCAAATATTTAAAGATGCTATATTTAAGATTTTTGTATTAAAAAGACTTTTGTCCTATTAAACTCTGGTATAGAATTTTTTTTTGAATTATAAAAGATTGTATAAATAAATTTAAATAAACAAATAAATTTAAATTTAATATTAAATTTTTTAAAAATAAAAAATAATCCATCATTCACATCATCACCCACCTATCAATCGTCACGTCCATCCCCACTATCCCACCCACCTCAATCTATCACATCTATAAATCTCATTTGTTTAATCATATAATTATATTATATGATTTAAAATTAGAATTTATAATAGCTATATAATCAACATCCATAATTTTAAAAAATTAATAAATATTTAAAATATTACTTATTAAAAATACTATATTAAAGAATCTATACGATTGATATTGCTATTATCATATTAGACAATAATTACAAGTTTTCAGATTAGCTTTAATTTTTTTAAATACTATTCTATTTTTTTAGTATTATCAATTATAAAATAAATTATATTATTGGTTATAATATTAATTACAATTATGGCTGTATCAAAGGCAGGATCATTTATTTAATAGTCTTAAAATTATTAGATTAAATTAATAACCAAATTATTAAATCAACTTATTAATATCAAATTTAAAGTTATAAAATTATTTGATACAATAAATTAGATTTAACAAAATTATACTTTGTAATAAAGGTCTATATTTTTCAATTTATTATTTGTTTTTAGAAACAAGAAAATCATTATTTGTTTTAGCTTTCTTATATCTTAGAAGCAAAGAAACACATTCAATCTTATATTAAGTTGATATTAGTGTTAAAAAATATTTGAATTATGTGCTTTAGCAAAACAATTGTCCAATTTAAGAACAAAATATAAACATTATTTATCAATTCTAATCCATATTTTTTAAAAAATGATTTGACCTCTAATTGTTGTTCTTGGAATTAGAAAACAACATGTTCGGACAAAGTTCTTCTTTCCATATTTAATTTGAGATATTTTGGCAGAAGAACAATAGAGACTCCTTACTTTTATGATTAACCAAAACCCTTACATAAAAAAATGTTGAATTTTTATTTCAGTAATTATTGGTAATTAAAATTATCTATGAATATGTTTTTTCCTACACATGTTATATCATTTTAAATCCATCTCTCTTAACTTGAATATATCACCCTCATGGTGCTTTAAATACTACAATAAATTGACATTCTAAATAAAATTCAGACATACTAAACTCTTGACATTCATCCTCCTTGGATATCAAAAAGAGGTAGTTTCTCCCACAGTTTGTAATGAGACCTGACCTCAACATGGTGCAGGAGTTGCAGCAAATCCATACACATATTTGGCTTTTATATCATGCCATGCCATGCCAAGCTGGTGAAGACCATGGGTTTGTCTCTCAAGATTAGGGTTAGGGTTGTGCTGCACTGCACTTGCAATATGGAGATGGTGACTATGCGAACTATCTGGGAGATGTAATTAAAGTTGAGTTACCACGCAGCATCGATTTCAACAGGGGAGTGTGTGTATCAGTTGCATGAAGTGGCAATTCGGCTCTTTTCGCACACCGAATTGCAGTTCTTAGGTCCGTTTGCTGGGAGCGTGGCACATGGTAAAAGATTCATGGTGGGTCCAGTGCTTTCTTACGGTTCCCTGGCCACTCGATCATGCAGCCTTTTTTGTGGTTCCGAAATCGGCAGGTCTACAATGATCGATCATGGGTTGTAGGCACACGTCCGTAGAATGTAGCAGGAAGCGGAAAAGTGGTTTCGTTCATCGTCCCTAAGAGGAAATCAGTAAAAGAAAAAACAAATTGATAAGGTTATTGATTCTAGGGAAAGAAAAGCAAAGCAAGAAGTGCAACTTCTTACAGTGATTGGAAACGACTATTTTGTTGGTGGATATTTTAGGAGCGGAGAGCAGTCGGAACAGTAGAAATGGGCATATTGATATGAAGCCTAATATAGGGTGAGTGCCCCAAGTGGAAGGACGTGACAATCCTTGTGTGCCAAAGGATTAGAAAATAGGCCGCAAGGTACAAAACGCAGTTTCGTTAATGATCCTATCATGGAAGCACATGGTGAGAGTATGGTAAGAAAATTGAAAAGTTGTCTCCCACGCTTACCTGCGGATGGATGTAGATCTGACTCATCGTGATCACTTTGGAGCGCTCTCTGGAATCCTGTAGTTTTTTTAGAAGAAGATCGAACCCCAACTTTGATATCCAAAACATTAAAATTCGTTCATGTGAGGAGTCTCCGAATTAGCAAACATACTCTATGGCAGAGGTGTAATTTGTCATCCACCTTCATCGCACACCTTCATTCGTGAGCGAGCATGAGTTTCGACATGCCCACTCCTGCAAATCGGTAGACATGTGTCGCACAGTAAATTTGCCTCGCTGTGTTGTGATAAAGCGATTCTTTGCCTGGATTTCTTGCGCATCCTTCTCTTCTCTCCCAACGTTGCGGAAGTTTGCGTCATTGTCAAGCTCTATTGTTCGGGCACTAGAAGCGCCTTATTTGCTGTTGTTATCAGCGTCGAACTGAACCCTCGGTAAGATTTGACAGGCAGATCTGGCTTTGAAAGAAGCGAGTCTGCATTGGAGTTTCAGGCTGCGATTTTGTCGGCTGGGGATTGTTTTGCGAGATTGTGTGAGTCGACATGTATTGGATCTGGTGGACAGGGTTGAGGGTTGTGGTTTCTGCTTGGTCTATTAGCAGTGGGTTTGGGAGCCTTTGCATTGCCGTTTGTGAGTTGGGTTTTGGCGCATTTTCTTCAGATATGAATCTGTAGTACAAATCACCAATCACACGTTCAAGAAAGGTGAGGATTTTTAGAAGGATGGCTGTATTCAAGAACGTTTTTTTTTTTTTTTTTTTTTTTTTTTTTCTCATGGTTTTCAAGGTCTTGCTTTGGTACGTCGGTGTATGTGCTATTTTCAGTGGCGAAAATGCGGCTATTTTCAAATTCGAAAGATCCCGCCTTGTCCCAAACGGAACCAAGAGCTGTAATTTCCGTATGAAAAACGTGTCTCAACTTTAGTGCAGAGATCTAGTCAAGGTATCTGCCGCATTTCTCATCCAATGAACTTCCTCCAAGACCTTTGAGTCGAAGCTTAGATGTGCGTCGCACAGGAACTGTCATGCAAGTTTTTCGAAGGAAACCCGCTAAATTGCAATATTTTGTTTAGATTTGTGACATCTGAATTTTCAAATACTGCTTGTGTACTTAAACAGTACATTGAAGAATCGAAGTGACATGCCTCTGGTAGACACTGAGTTCACTTACTTCAATCGTTTGGTATGAGTTCCATGGTGTGTTTCCGTATTTAATAATATTCTTCCCTGAGTCAAATCCACTATCCGGGTTTTAGGGTTTAAGGTCATTTCTAAACGTGCATTTGTGTGGAGGGTCTGATCATCTCTAGTTTGGGTATCGAGCAGGTATTTGGCGTGTTTGCAGCACATCTGTGCAGATCGCCAGCATGGGTGTCGACAAGGACGCCAAGATCTTTGTTGCTGGACACCGAGGTCTAGTAGGTGCGGCTGTTGTTCGTGCTTTGAAGAAGGATGGTTATAACAATTTGGTGATGAAGACTCATAAAGAACTAGATCTTACCCGTCAAGCAGCTGTGGAAGAATTTTTCGACACGGAGAAACCAGCGTACGTCATCCTAGCAGCTGCGAAGGTGGGAGGCATTCACGCAAACAGTACTTACCCTGCAGAGTTCATTGCCGTGAATCTGCAGATCCAAACGAATGTCATCGATGCTGCTTACAAGTCTGGGGTGAAGAAGCTCTTGTTTCTGGGCTCTTCGTGTATCTACCCAAAGTTTGCCCAGGTACCCATCGTTGAGGAGTCGCTCCTGACAGGGCCTTTGGAAGCTACAAACGAGTGGTATGCTGTAGCAAAGATTGCAGGAATCAAAATGTGCCAGGTTTATCCATAACTCCAACCGATCTGCTGGTTCTTCCGCCTTACTCTTCAGACCACTGTATTCGAGAATATTCTCTTAGTAATTTCTACCAGAGCCCCTCATGTCTTGCGATTGATTGAAATGCAACTACAGGCTTACAGGCTGCAGTATAATTTCGACGCCATTTCTGGAATGCCGACAAACCTCTACGGTCCCCACGACAATTTCCATCCCGAGAACTCCCACGTCTTGCCAGCCTTGATCAGACGCTTTCACGAGGCTAAGGTGAACGGCGCTAAGGAAGTGGTTGTGTGGGGATCAGGTTCCCCATTCCGTGAGTTTCTTCACGTGGACGACTTGGCAGAGGCAACAGTATTTCTGCTGCAGAATTACTCCGCGCATGAGCATGTCAACATGGGCAGTGGCTCTGAGGTCTCAATCAAGGAACTCGCCGAAATGGTGAAGGAAGTGGTTGGATTTCAGGGGCAGCTGACATGGGATACTTCTAAGCCTGATGGAACTCCACGAAAGCTCATCGATAGCAGCAAACTTGCCAACATGGGGTGGCAAGCGAGAATTCCCCTCAAGGAAGGATTGGCAGAGACTTACAAATGGTACTGTGAGAACTACAATGTCTAGGCTATTTTATTCGGATCAACCTTGAAGCACCTGTTTTTGAATTCTTACTACGATAGATAAATTCAAGCGGTGGCTATGTGAAGCAGTGGTAGCTTTGCAGGATACTGACCTCGAGGATATTTATCACAATTCATTGCCTGTTTAGTGGGTACTGCAACCTTGTATTGTGAGGCTGTCATGGCAATTTTCTTTCTAGCATGCTGACTTTAAACTATTTACATATATGTTGATGGAAATTTTGTGATGAATTCTATTTCTTTTAACACTCCTCGTGTATGTTAATTATTGGCGTGAATATATTTAGTGTCACAGAACTGAGAATGTAGTACTTTGTCGCGTTTGTTGAGATTCGTCGACTAGAGGCGAGTGTTAAACTGGCAGGATTTATGATGTCAATTTTCGGTAAGAGTTGTAACAAAAATCTTTATAATGAAAAGCAACCGAAGTCAATTCTCTTACTTTTTGCAAAATAATAAAGTCTTGAATGAAGAAACATCAGTCTGTGCTTTTTGTTATTCACATTTATTATGATACATCTGATGTACACAAACGTCGGAATACCTTAAAGTCAACTTTAGGTTTTTCAGCTATCTCGGGGGATTATTTTTTGGTGGAGAATTTTTTTGATATGCTCAAAAAAATAAAAATAAAAATAAATGAACTGTTGCAGTGGTTTAATTGATAAAAATTACCAAAGTGGTTTTTGCATTTGACCTCTAAGCCAACACATAGACTTTGGCCAAAACCGTCCATAAATACATAGTAGACCACTACATCACATTAAACCACCACCTTCATCCTTATAAAGGATATCGACATTGGAATCTAGACTTGGAATCTTTCTTCATGAAGAATGGTTATCTTTGGGTTTGTGCAAGGGCGATTTAAGGTAAGGTCGATGGGTTGGTTCAGTTGAATGACACGGTTAAAAATATTTTGAGGTTACATGATCATTGAAAACATATGTTTTAATCAATATAACTGTTGTGATATACGTATGTGTGGACACATAAAGTAAATATTGATTTTTTTGTGGATACCTTCATGATTGTGGGGAAAAAAAAAATCGATCGGAAGACAGTTGTTTGCTGTTAATACGCACTTGTATTTTAGGAACCCTGATGTATTTGACATCCAATAACTTTTGAAAGTAATTTTTATCTAAATTTAAAAAGTTATTTATAATTAAAGAAATATTTCTGTTTGTGATGTTATTATTTTAAACCTCACAAATACACACAAATCATCATTTCATTAAAATATGCTTTAATTTTACTGAATGTGTTTTCATACATATATATTAGGAAATGCAACATACTTATAATATTGAGGTTACTTAAATATATTACAATTTAGAGAGTTAGAATTAGTGGGTCAACCAAATAGACATATTAAAGTTTTTTTTTTTTTTTTTTTTTTAAAAATTTTCTTCTTTGAAACAAATTATATATTAAAGTTAAAATATTGAAATTAATTCTTAACACATTTGTTTCAAAGCTCTAGCACAGTTTCAACCTATCACAAGATTGCGTAGCACTTATATTGTGATTCATAGAGGTTTTAAACACCAAGATGTACAAGGTCTTAATATGTTATAATTTTTATAAATATTTTATAATTAGTCCAAGAGTGGAATTTTGCAAATCTATGATTTAGGTCTTATGATACAACTGTGAGTTAGCAACATAATTTTAAAGAGATGCCACAATACACTCCATGGCAATTCATACATGTGAAAAATAATTCTTCTAAAGCTTGTTATTGGTATTTTAAGAGTTTTTTAAGAGATTCTACAAACTTCAAAGATGACTTCAAACAATAAAATAATAATAATAATAAAAAACAATATTGACATAGAAAAAATCATGTAGCAATGGTATTGTTGCTTTAGTAAGATCAAAGTGAAGTCATTGCTAAAAAAATAAAAATAAATAAAAATAAAAAAATCAAACAAACAAACTAACAAACAAATGTTGGATATATGAATATAAGCTAGATAATAAGTAAAAAGTAAAATATATATATATAGGAAAAGGTGGATTCAGAAGAAGAATAACATATGTGTAGAATTTTCATATTAGTACACATTATTTTTGGATTTGAATTACACACACAAATATAAAAGTATAAATAATTATAAGTTTCCATAGGAAATTTTGAAAGATCATTTAAGATTCTAAGAACTTATGAATCTTTCTGAGAGATTTTGGAAAGTCAATGGAAATTGTTCAAAGGATTCTATGAAATTGTAGAAATTTACAAAATACATTAGATGTTAAAAGATTCTTATAAATCATTGTTGTTATTTACTAATAAAAAACTACAATTTAGTTTTAATTATTAATGGATGCATTTAATATATATATATATATCACAAAATTTTAATAATTTTTAGCATAATACCATTTAGGTTATGTAATATTATTGGCACTTCAATTTTTTTTTAAATCCAAATTTCTAAATAGCAATCAATTATGATTGTGTATGTTGATGAAAAGCTGGATGATTTTAATAAATCAAAAGACTATAAAAACACCTCTATGTGGCACCTACAAGACTATAGGTAACATAAAAAAATCAAAATTGAAAAATGATAAAGTGTGATGTATTTTTTCAATTGGATTTGTCTTAGTTGAAAAGCCATTAAACATTGTACAAGAAGGTGAAGGAAATATTTTTCTTAAAGCAAAATTCCTTGCATACATAGAAGAAATTTAGTTTGCCGAAAACATCATTTCAAGTGATTTAATGCAACTTTCCAATAACCTAAGATGTTCATATTTTATTTTTTAATTATCAATTTTAAAAAACTAAAACGTGGTTTTTTTAAGCTTAGAAGAAGTAGAATCCTATCCTGTCACAGAAATTAATATAATTTATTTTAATTAGTTAAGAATATCAAAAATCAGGTTTTAAAGATATACTTTGTTGAGCACATGTAGATACTTAAAAAAAATTGTAAATTTTTTTATTCATAGTCAAGACCAATTGTATATAGAGGTAAAATATATTCTTATATGATTGACTTTTTTTAGAAGAAAAAATAACATAATAAATGAAATTATTGCTGGAGCATACTGTTAAAATCAGGGTATTAAGACTTAGGCACGCACTGAACTAAAAATCATAAATGTTCTTATTGGTTATTATAGTAACTTCCAATCAAAATCTAACAAAAACTTGAGTAAATAGACAATTCTGTACACTGTCTTCTAAAACCAAGATATTTTAATGCAACTGTTTCATGTGCCTTTAAAATCATAGCATAGTATTTTGAAATATATATATATGAACATTTGATTTTAATGCAATTTGGGTAATATTAACAAATTTAGAAAGTTGGTTCTTACGTATAAATAGATATAAATTTGTGTTGGTATGAAAAATACTGATGCAATCAATGCTATTTTAAATTACAATCATGCATATTTGGACATTCATAATAATACAAAAATGTCCAACAGCTACTTCAAATAACACACATGAACAAGAAGCAATAGAAGTATGCTGTTACTTACAAAATAAGTTCAGGAAATGGCAAAAACAATCTAATAATATATATAGTTTTTTAGTTTTTTCTCCTACAATGACATTGCTTTCTCACAGAGCACACAATTTTTCATGTCAATCTCCAGTTATGTCTAAGAATACACATATCTTACATAAATACAAATAAATAAAAGGTAAATTAGCATAGATGTAAGACAAAAAAAAGCCTTCTCATTGACCAAAATCAAAGATATCATTAACTACTAGAAAGCCTCGCATAACCTGCAAAAAGACCTCCAGGCTATGCGAGGCTATGCGAGGCCTGGAGGTAAACAGCTTAACCTGTAAAAATTAATCATTAAAACTCTGTTATTTGTGGTACTTTTGGTTTTATTATCAGAGATGATTAAAGAACACAAATTGAATTTAAAGGAAATCGTACTTAAGTACGTATGTACGTTTATGAATAATTTTTGCCATGAAGATACACATACTTTGAAATTTCGATTGTCTGAAATTTTCTTCTTGTGTGCATTTTATAATTAGGTTTGCAGGATTAGTTAGAGATATTATGCACATGTAACATTGTTGACCCTTTTGAGTACAAAGTCCAAATCTTGATTTTCATATCCACAAATTTGGACACAAATTGCAATTAAAGAATTGAGAATGGTAGTCCAATCAGCATTCAAATTGAAGTTAAAATACGAAGCAAAATCATATCATATACTTATGGTAATTTAAGTCGTGTCTAAAAATAGCATATGTGATAAAACATTTACAATCTTAAATTTTTTTATTAAATTCCATTTCTTAAAATGTGCATAACACATGTTTTTATTGTGATTTTGAAAAACTAAACTCAGGATTAAACATAGTTGAAGGGTATTGTTGTTGTTAATAACACATCAACACAAATGCTGCACAGATGGATTTCAACATGCATCTTCCAAAAAACATATTTACAAAACACACATTATTGTTGTTTTAAAAGGTCTTAGCCTTTGTTATAAAAACCATTAGGAATGGCAAAGTCAATCTAAAGTACTTATATGGTTTGATACTTAAAAAAAAAAAAAAAAAAAAAAAAATCATAAGCTTCAAATTACCACAGAATATGCTTTTTTAAAGATAGAGCAAACCACAGATATATATATATATATATATATATATATATACATATATGACACTTGTTCAATTTCACTTTTTATTTATGAACACAAAGGAGTATTAATATTAATGTACGTATGGAAGTCTTAAATTACATCATAGGAATGACCACATTTTGTGGTAAGCAACATTGACTTGAAATGACATTTTACTATTTTAACTTTCATCAAAGGAACAAGTTGTCGAGGGCCAAATCCAGAGTTACCTACATTAACAAAGATTTTGCACCTACCAACAGTAATACACCCCAAGAACAGAAGTGAAACACAGTAACAGTAGTTTACTGGAGTTTACACCATACGTTTCATAAAGACGCCAAAACCATAGAAACTCGCGGCGCCAGATGGACTTCGGGTAGATGCAGAGGTGGCAGCGCCAGCATTAAGGGAGGAGTGACGTTGGGGCCTCGCGACGAGGCGTGCGGGCCCCCGCGGACGTCGTGATGTGGAATTGAAGGAATGCAGGACTTTCATTCTCACTCACTTCCAGAGGGACAGAGAAGAGGGGTGGTCGAGAAATCACCACTCGGACCAATCTCTCCCAGACTGATTGATTAGTCGCGTTGAATAAAACTCGCACTTCTACCTCCACTTCTTACTTACCCTTTTCCTCTCCCTCCCTTCCTCGCATACCCTTTCGCATCATGCTTGCGAATGTACTGTAGCTAGCCCGAAGGGGGCGCCCACTAGCTAGCCCCATCGGAATATGGACCGCGCTCCCCCTCTGTGCTACGACTCGCCTGGCTGCACGAATTGATTCTCCTCGATCCGTTCCAGTGTTCGAGAGACGCAGCGACTCAGATTCTTCTGCACTTGGGTTGATCTCTTCTTAGCAGTGCGTTGTCCTTTTCGATGGAGCACACTGAGGTTTACTCTCGAAAGAACAGGGCGGGTGAGGAGGGGGGAGCTTGTGGAGCTGAGTCTGTGTGGACGGCAGTGAGGTTGTGAGATGTCGATTGCTATGTGAGTGAGTGAGTGAGTGAGTGCGGGAGAGAGCGAGAGCGAGAGCGAGAGAAGTGGTGGGTGTGGTTGGTTTGTGATGTCAGCTTGTTGCGTGGAGCTGATGAATAAGTTCCAAGCTGGAGTTTGTTGCGTCCAGCTACTGACGATTGCAGGGCGAGGTGCGAGCTCGCTACGAGGAGATTAGTAGGGTCGGAGTTTTAGTTTTGCAGTGCAGGAGTTGGGTGATTGAGAAGAGAATCAAGGGAACACCTTTTTTGTGGGTTCGACTTTGATTTAGATCAGATTTTTAGTGACATTGGTTGCCCCGCGTGATTCGAAGGCCTTATCGTACACTTTGATTCGCCTGAAAAGCCGATCAGTTGCGGAGTTTTTTTTTTTTTTTTTTTTTTTTTTTTTTTGAGGAGCTGATTCTGCATGAGGCATAGACCTCAAACATTTTATGCTCTAGTGTGAGCCTTCTTGTTGTCAAACCAGGGTTTCGCGTGTTGTAGAGTTGCGGATCGAGCTCTACATATCACTCAACGTAGAAACTCTCTCCATTTCCAGTATTGTCTGATCTGTGCGCGATCGAAGCCAACCGACTTTAACGATGGATTCCTTCACAGATGATCTCAGCAGCCCCCTTCCCAAGCAGATGATATCTGAGACGATAGAGAACTCAGTTGTACAGAGGTCGTCGATTATTAACGTTGATTATTTCACTGCCAATACGCCAAGTGTGAAGGCGCGCAGCATTGAGCTGAGACCTTGGGGTCGCATAATTTCGAAGCGAATCCCAGCGGCAACCATCGTTAGACAAGAACCCAAAATCGTCTCAACTGAGGATCCATGGAGCCAGCTTAGCGACGACATTCTGGAGTATATCCTCGCGAGACTGCCACTATTCCCACTTAAGGCCGCTAGGAAGGTTTGCAAGCGGTGGGAAGCCATTATCAGCACCTCAGAGTTCGACATTCTCCACAAGCAGCTTGGGGAGCAACAGCCATGGCTTGTCTGCTATAGAACTAATCATCTCGTCCGCAGCAAGTCTCAAGCTTATGCCTATGATGAGGAATCTCATAAATGGATTACCCTTCCTCCTCTGCAATTTCCTTCCCACAATTATGGTACTCTGGCAGGTGCTAATGGACTTGTGTATGCCATTGCTGGCCCTAGCGAGAACAAGCTCAAGTACAAGCTGGCATGCTCTACTTCCTCTCCCTCCTCGTTCCTGGAGACGTGGTACGAGACTCCGAGTATGGGATTCTCGCGGCATGCGCCTGTGGTCAGTGTGGCCCTTGAGACTGGACCCACAGGGACCGCCCACAAGGTGGTGGTGGCTGGTGGTGTGCCGGAATATGAGCCTGAGCACATGGCGGTGGAGGTCTTCGATTCTGAAACTGGTAATCTCGCCACATTCTCTGTTGCGGTGTCATTATCAGAACATCCAATTGGTCTTATCCATATCTTGACTTTCAAATCAGTTGACTGTTACAAGTTTTCGAATTGTAAATTTTTCATTTCCGCAGTAATGCGATATTTTATCTACAAATCATCCTGCAGACAGGATAGGTGATATTTTCATAAGTGAAGAAAATAAATAAGTAAATAAATAATAGTGTGTCTTTGCCTGTTAGACATCATTTCTATTCATTCTGCTCAATCATACACCGAAACCAAATGAACATTTTAGTGCTATGCTGCCCTTGTGAGCACATGGATCTAGCTAGTTTGTTCTGTGCACTTCTCCTCAATTGATGGAACATTGTGGGGCGTGGCATTCACTGTTCTCATTTGTCCACAGATTATTCGCTATAACTAAATGGGACCAGACATAATGAGGAATTCTGTGTAGTAGACTAGTACTAATGACAAGTTCATTTTCTTACAGGTGCTTGGGAAGCTTACGATGACTTACCAGATGATTTCTCAGGGAGCAGCTCCAGGCTGTGGATGTCGGGCGTTGTGTGTGACAACAAGCTCTACATGTCATTGATCCACTCGTGGTCTGTTCATGTCCTGGATTTTAGTAGCAGGACTTGGAGCTTTGTGCAGTGGGAGCGTCCTCATGGATTGATAAGCCACCATATCATGGCGATTGGGAGGACACTCGTGGTGGCCGGGTTATGTGAAGATGTCGAGCAGCCAGGAGAGATTGTTGTCAAGGTCTGGAAACTTAACCACGACAAGCGTAGTTTGCTTCAGATTGGGTCTCTGTCCGGGCAAGTGTTTGCTACTTTGGGGAGGAATCTAGAAGTGCCAACCCTGAATTTTCTGATGAATGAGAATTTGCTATACGTCTCCAAGGCGTATATAAAAGATGGGGCCCTGGTTGTCGGCGAGATTTCCCTTGAGGAGTGCAAGACTGAGTGGCGCGTGTTGCCTAGTGTGTCCAGCTTAGGGTATAGATTTGATAGCATGGTCACTTTCTGCACTTCTATTAGTATTAGTCCTCACATTTCTGCAACTTCTGCAACCTGACTTGAGCTGCTGGCCTTTGAGGGTAACTTTAATGCCAGCATTCCTCTTTCAATTGTGAATATGAAGACACTGTATTATATGTATGAGGAGCTGTGTCTTGGTATCTTCTCACTGTTCTTGTGGGGTGCGCCTGCTGATGTGGATGTTTTTCGAATTTAATAGACTGTTTTTGAAGCCTATGGAAAAGTATATGTAAACTTGCACGTATATTATGTTTCCTCAAATGAAATTTACATACTAAATTTATAATAACAACTAATATTTTCAATAAATGTGTGCTTCAAAATAAAAAAAATTACTAAGTTATTGATAATATTGGGAATATTTTATTATAAAGTGGTACCGATTTTTTGTAGGCTCAAGTTACAAGCACACCTCAAATTGCTCTAAACATCCATTATGTCTATACACACACCTGAAGCCTTTGATTAGTTGATCAAGATCTATTTTTTCTTGTCCAAGTGTAGGTCCTAGACCTCCTCCCTTTCTTCCTTGCCTTTAGGACAAGAATAAAAGGGAGGAGGAGATTGAGACCCATGCTGAGGCAAGAAACAGAGGGAGGAGGTTTGGAACCCATGTTGGGGAAAGGAAGTAGGAGAGGAGGTCTAGGATCCATAGTAAGCAAAGGAAGAAGAGGAGACTAGGACCTATGCAAGGGCAATGAAGAGAGGGGGGGAAGGTTCAAGATCTGTGTCCAGATAAGAAAAAATAGATTTGGATCAACCAATCAAAGGGCTTGGTGTGTGTATAGACATAATAGGTGTACTTGTAGCCTAAGCCTTTTTTGTATTATGTACTCCAAATAAATAAAATAAAATAACTTAAATAAATACTATGCAATTTAAAATCTATGTTAATCTTTTGCTATATATGAACTTACAAATTATCATTAATTTGCACTAGAAAATGTTATGATGTGCCAATAGTGTGAAAATAAATAATCATTTGAATGCTTTAAATTAATTTTTATTTTGTTTTTAATTTGTTAATTTAAACCATCGATTTTTAAATTTATAATAATGACCACTTTATTTTTAAGAATTGAGAAGTTAATATCATTGTCTATTTTGCACTCATAAGTGTTATAATTTTTGAAATTCTTTTTGTACAAACTTCTTGATCAAAAAAATTATTCAAAGCTTTATTGCTTTAATTAATTTATCATTAATATATTTTTTATGTTTAAGTTTTTTTTATTAATTATAGATTTTTATTAGTAATTTTTTTCTATTACAATTTTTTTTGCAAATAAACAAGAATATATATATATATATATATATATTAAAATGAATCATTTTTTTATTTCAATATTATTTTTGGATAATTTTTTAAAAATTTCTAAATTCAAATGTATTGGTACTTGTTCATCTTATCTATATATAAATTTATTTAATTACATATTTTATATAAATTTTTAATAATTAATAATTAAATTAAAAATTGATTAATTTAACAAAATTAAATATGATTTAAAGTAATTTAATGAGTGATTTATAATTCCAATTTGATTATAGTAGATTCAGGCATAATATTATTGCTACTTCCATCATCGACTATGACCTTAGGAATTATTTTATCTATTATTTCTACATCTATCTCAATAAGTCCATACTCTCTATTGTCTTTATTTTTTTTTCTTAGGTAATATTTCTTTCTAAATCTCGAACTTCAACTCTAGCTATTCCTTTCATATTTTTGGTTTTTCTTTGTGTAATTATACCTTCTTTGAGGTCTTTTTTGATGGTTGATGCTACTTGAACTAATTGACTAAAAGAAATGTTGGCTCTAGCCCTACAAAGGTCTTGCCATAAATCATGTGGTTCTGCAGGATTGAAGGCTCTAATAATTGTTGGATGTTTTAACAAGGCATTAGAAGTCCAAGGCCCTTCTTTGTCTATAAATTGATATTCTTCCTCATTAGTTTCAATCAAAGAAGATGATTAGTCGTATTTTAGTTGTTTAACTACATCATGATTAGTTTTTGTCAATTCTACAAACTTAGGCCATTCTTCTGAAGGATCTAAAGATATTTTATCGTCTTCAAGAAGTGCTAAATCTATTAGTTTTTTGGTGCTCATACTTCTAATTACAACTAGAGAAGGCAAATATATATTGTTCTTGAAGATCTCTTTATTGTCTAGTTGGACCAAGTTGGATTGAGGAGATGATAAGGTTGATGTAGTAGGTACATCAAGTTGAGCCACTATATATCTAACATCTTAAGAAGAATGTGGCTATTGATTTTGGTTTTGGTTTTGAGTATAAACTACATATCTTTGTAATATTCCATGAATGATATTAACTATTGTTGGAAGATGATGGTTTTCACCATTGCTTGAAGGGTCATAATGTTTGATGGTTTTTTTTTGTAACAATATGATTTGTAAATCTAACTCCTTATATATTCCCTTTGGTTTGGTTATTATAATCTCTTGAAGAAGAAGTTGAAGAATTAACTTAATTTGATCTTCTACAATGATCTATAGGATAAAAACCTCCATAATTTGAGCATATATTTCTATTTTTAATCCAACATTGACCTACCTTATGTAGTTTTTTATAAATAGGATAAGGTATAATATTATTTTTTTGGTTGGAAGGAAGACTAGAACCTACTTGTCTTGAATGGTGAAAAAATCTATAAGGTTGGAATTGATTCTTTTATACAAGTGGTTGTTATAAAAACTTTGAACAAAATTGAGCAGTGTAATTGACTTGTCTACAATTTGTACATCACAATCTAAAAGTACGAATTTTCAATTTATAATATCTAGGCTCTATAGTTGGAGTTTGATTTTTAATAAGACAAGACATTTGTTCACTAATAGCTTTCATAGTGTTGGTCATCTTATTTTTGAACACCTCATTGCTTTGTTTTATTTTACTTTTAAATTCCTCCAATCTGGTATCATAAAAGGTCTTAATTTAAACTTAATCATGTGGAGGTTGTATAGCTAAAGGTATTGGATTGCTAATTGGTAAGGAAAAAGTAGAAGGTTGTGAATAGCTTAAAGCTAGAGGTTGATGGAATTCTATATGTCGATGTTGCAAGGATATAAAAGAGGATATTAGTTCTTCTATCCTTCAAAGCATAAGATCATTTTTCTTATCAATAACCTCCACTTTCAAAGTGGCTTGAATGGCTCCTTTTAAATCTTTATGTCTCTTATTTAGGATATCCCGAATTATAGAAGGCATAGCAAAACCTTGAATAAAGTAGTGCCTTATGGTATCTTCATATAAAAATTTATTAACATATCGAGTACATACTATTCAAAATCGCCTCACATAAGAAGTAATATCTTTTAAAGGACCTTGTCTAGTAGTTGTCAAAGTTGAAAGAGCTTGTTGTTGGCCAATTACGTGCCTATATTGATGAAGAAATGCTGTTAGAAGTTGTTCCCATTTAGTGAATGCCTCCTCTATATAGAATCTATACCAAACATATATAAAATCTATCAAGGTTGTTGGAAATCATATTAAATAATAGCCATGATTGATTACTAAACTAATAATAAACACTTCTACAAATCTTTCTACGTGGATTGCCAGATCTACATTGATAGATCCACTAAAACTTAAGATGTTAGGTAGAATTGATGTCTCTTGTAATCCTAAAGATACTACAATTGATAATCCCCTAGGTAACATCATCAGATCGATTTGGGTATTGGCTTTGAACTTGTAGTTATCTTCATTGGCTACATTAGCTCTTTGAGTTAGAAATGATAAAGGCTCTACTTAAAGCTCTGAAGGATGCCCTCTACTGTGCTCCATCCTGATAGAAGCTTGTGACATCTTGTTATAAAGTTCTTTTAATGCATGGATTTCTAAAACTATAGATTCAATATATGATCTAGATTATAAAACGCATTGAGATCGCAAAACAAGGCTAGTAGAAAAAGGATAAACTATCTTAGATTCAATTCTAGATGACATACAACTAAGTATATGGCTCTTCAATGATTCTTTCAAGATAAAAGACCTAATAGATGATTAAAAATAAAACAAGTAGATTTTAAATTGTTTTTGTTTTATTTTATGAAATGACATAAAATCCTTTCTTTCCTTACCTATTTGTGAGGTACATGGTTTAATTACATACTAAGATGAAATCTTGTGCTAATCTCAAATTAGTTGTTTCATTCAATAATTAAACCTTTTTCACAAGTGATGCACAAGATCCAACTAAATACCAAGTTAAAATCTTGTGCCGATCTTAATATAATAGAATTACCTATTAATTGGACTTAATTCATAATTTAGAAATTGAAAAACGAGGCCAAGAGAAGTACAAGTAATTTAAAATTTTATCACGTGGATACTAAAAAAATCAAATGGATGTAATAAAGAAAAACCTGTAGGAAAATTTGTTACTTTCAATTTTGTCTCATAAGAGTCATCATGTCTCATAAGTATAGGCTCAACAACAAAAGAAAGTCATGCTGGCCATTAATCCAACTTCACTTTCTACAAAAAAGCTACAAATTGAAATAGCATCTATCAACAATACACCAGGTTCTCTTCACAAAAAGACGTGGAGTGGAGAAATTTTTCGATCGTGTAATGGATTTTGTCCACTTACACTATAAGAAGATAGAAGGAGTTTAGAAAATACGTGGGGATAGCAAGTCTTGCCATGCTCCTTCTTAAGTGTACCTAAAATTTGAAATAAAAATGAAGAGCTAAGATTTAAAACCCATCTAATTTCACCAAGCAGTTTTTCTTTTTTGTATGTCTAAAATTTCAAATAAAATTAAAGAGCTCAAGTTTGGAATCCACCTAATTTCACCAAGCCGTACTCTTTTTTCTCAATCCACAATTTGTGTTAGTAAAATAAAATTGAAACTAAATGATTTTTGTTAAAAATATACTCACCTTGGATTATGATTTGAATTTGTTGGTATTCTCTTTTTTTTTTTTTTTTTTTTTTTTTTTTTTTCTAATTGTTCTAAATTCCTTCTATCTAATTCTTCTATCCATTTTTTCTTCTTGAATCTTTGTTTTTTGTTTTGTTTTGTTTTTTTTTTTTTTGATGAAGAATTTTCTTTAATTCTCTTTAAGTTCCTTCTATACTACTCTTGTGAATAGAAGGGATATGAG